AACCCTGACTGGCCATTTGTCATAGCTGGCCTCTGACATCTGCTGTGGTGTCTGACACAAAGAAGTTTTATCGAAGTAGCTCTGCAGCAAAACAGAAAAAAACTTAACCGTTCTATTATCTGATCCGTTAACCATGAGAAAATTACTTCATACTTTAAATCACAGTTGCCTTATTTGTAAAATGAGGAAAATAATGTCTAATCCTACATTTTCCCCTGAAGATTTAAATGAAATAAACCATTAGTAAGGATAAATGATATGATTGTAATAGATTATTGTATTATTTCTATTGAGCTAATGTCAAAAATACATTTCTGAATTAATTATTGTAAAAATTCATATTGCACGCTGTTATCTGTCTAACTGAAGGAAAGTCATCACTCTCATGTGCTAGAATGTGTCCCTGAGCCTTTGGCCTGTACCCCAGTTCTGTATGTACAAATAAATAAATCTTAAAAAAAAAAAAAATCTCATGCCCTCCTGGTGACACAGCTGGTTGAAGCACAGCACTAAGAAGCTAAAGCCACTTCAGCATGAGTTCCATACCCCCCCACCCAGGTGACCCACATGGCTGGGGCAGCAGACCTCTCCTGACCCACCCCCTGCTCCTCTCTGCTGCTCCTCTCAGCAGTGTTCTTCACCAGTTGGCCTGTTCTGCTCCCCACTCTGTCTCTGGTGAATCCTCTCACCATCCCTGAGCCTCTGGCCTGTACTCCAGTTCTGTATACCTAAATAAATAAATCTTTTTTTAAAAAAAAAATTCATATCATTAAACCTGATGAAAACAGTTGCAAACATCTTAACAAACCTTGGAAAACCAAATTCAGCAAATCATTAACATGATCAAGCATTGTGACCAAGTGGGGTTTATTCCAGAGATGCGGTATGGTTCAGCATCCAAAAACCATTGTAATCCACCATATTAACAAAAGGAAAGAGAAAAGCCTCTTGTTGTCATCATATAAAGGCATACAACTAAGAGTTAAATGGAACCAAACCAGTAACAAACCCTTGACATCTTGACAGCAAAACTGAAGTAATCAGAAGGGGACCGTGGCAACTGTGTGGGAGCAGGGATGGAGGGGACCCTATGGACTATGGTGGAGCATTATTGGTGGTGGCATGGTGTAGAAACATACTTTTGTAGAAGTTTGAGCCTATGGTCTGTAAAACAAATAGAATGAGGTAAACCAATTTTATTGAAAGAAAATTCTGTACAACTTTATAGTACAGAAGAAAAACAAAAATATTGCCCAAATTGTATTCTTTCAGAAATGGCATTGAAATAACTAAATCTGCATTAATTTTATGGCAGTGAAAAACACTTACTTTTGAAGGCTTTATCAACTGATTATGAAGATATGATTGAATCAGAATTTGTTAAGATTCCCCATACTGTTAAGTGACAGTATAGTAACCACTTAAACAATAGATATCATTCAATTTTATTTTTTTAATTATTTATTAATATATACATGAAACTGAAGGCTAGGCCAGAGGTGGTGGGGCGAAAAGATTCACAAGAGACAGAGTGGGGAGCAGAAAAGGCAGATTGACTGGCTGCTGAAGGGAGCAGCAGGTGATACAGGAAAGGTCTGCTGTGTCATGTGGCTCACTTCCCTGGCCAGGATCAAACTCATGCTGAAGGGGTGCAACTGTGGATAGCTTCACAGTGCTACTTTTTAACCCATTGTGCCACCAGGGTTGTCATTTTAGATATCTTACAAATGGAGATTAAATTCTGTAACAGGATATTAGCAGGCCAATATACAATTTCTGCAAAAACGTTGTTTAAATACAAATAAAGAGAAGGATAATTAGTATTAAATCAATTCTCACTTAAGTTTAATATGTGGGGTGGAGATGCCTACTAAGACAAAATAATTCTATACTCCATATTCTATATTCTGATTCTATATATCTTCTATATTTTGGGAACCAAAATATTTTAGTGTTATAGTTGTGTATGTACAAGCCCTCACAATTTAAAGTTGCAATTTACATTATGACCCTCCTCAAAATCTAAAGTTGGTTCGGTTCAGTATTTACCATTTAGCTATGAAGAGAAAGAACCGATTTAAACTTTTCAAATTGTTCATTTTTTATCAACTGAAATTTCTAGTACATAGTTAGACATTGTTAAATTTACAATGAATGAGGCTAAATACTGTCACTATAGATTCAAGAGCTACATATAGATTGAAGAGCTACGTAATAACCTATAGAAATTGTCAAGTGCATTAGAAATGCTTGTCACACATATGATACAAATATTTGTTCACTTGTTTGGTTGATTCTTCCATTACTTATGTCATCTTTTATACTAAAATATTACTCTGTAGCTGTGCACAGCCTTCAAGAATCTGATGAATATTATCAAGTCAAATGCATATACTTACATAAATAAAAATGTTGTATTAGTTTTCAGGGCATTTCATAGGCATGGTAGATTCTGAGATATACCATTCTAACTTTAACACTTGCCTCATATATATTGTTTGCATCCTAGTAACTCATATATGGCCTTTATAATAAATGTGTAATATGTGACTGCCTTAACATAATAAAGTTTGATGATAGTGTATGTGAACCCATTTCAAATTCTATTAAACAAAGTAATCAGAGTTATGTAAGTTTAAGGAAAGCAGTTATAGTAATATTTTTTCTATTTCTGCACAGTCATAAACAAGTAATCAGAAGAATTTACTCATAATCTGGATCATAATACTTTATATGGGGGTACAGTAGTATTATTAATGATATTTGTAATAAAGGTAAATTGTAGCTTTTTAAATGTTTTATTTATTTTAAAACTCATAGTGAAAATACATCATTTAATAAGATTTCAGACAGTAAAATCCAACATATAACTTCATTAAGCAATACAAAGGGAACTATAAATAAAAAGCTGTGAAATAAAATGAATTATGAATATCTACACTATTATCCTTAGTTCTTAAATAGTAGATAAGTGTTTAAAAGTATAATTGAAAATAGCTACACTGAAGAATGTAATCTTTTATCACTCTGAAGGCATTAGCATTAGTTTCATGTATTTAAAACTGGAACTTATCCTAACACTAGAAAATTTCTTTATCCCATGGACATTGCTTTCTATCATTTATTTTTTGATATTCTGTGTATATTTTAAATAGAAATTATAAGGAATATTGATTTAAGTTTTATTTTTTTAAATATTTATTTATCTATGTACACAAGAACTGCAGTACAAGTCAGAGGTGTGGAGGGTGAGAGGATTCACCAGAGACAGAGTAGGGAGCAGAACAGGCAGATGGACTGAACTATACTGCGGAGGGGAGCAGTGGGCAGGACAGGAAGGAGGTCTGCCATGGTATGTGGGTCAGCTGGGGAGTTGGGGTTGGGGTGGGGGGTGATAGAACCTGTGCTGGAATGGCTGGAATTGCCTCTCAGTACTGTGCCCAGCCCATTGTGCCACCAAGCAGGGCCTTACTTAAGTTTAAGTTTTAGACTGTGTAAGGTGTTTTTAAAGTTGGAAAAATAATGATATAATGTATTATCAGATTTTATGTGGAGAATTCTTGGAGATCAATACTTTCCTAACACATATCATTTTCTTTCCCCAAGAGAGTAAACTTGAATTTCATCCAAATTAATTAAGGTGGATCTGGAATCAACAAATTAATTAATCTAGTTGTTTATTGAACAAATATACATTTTCCTTGTTCTATGAGTAATGCACTGTAATGAGAGAACAAATAAACACCTGAGGCCCTAAGATTACAGTCTTTAAGCAAACAGAATAGATGGAATTTGATAAAGTGTAATAAATTCCATGAAAGAAGCAATGCAGAACACAGTGAGAGTACACACCTCCAATGAATATGCAGTTCTAGCAATCAAAAAAAAAAAAGCTCTCTTTGCAAAGAAAACTTTAGTCAGGAAACTGAAGCAAACAAAATCCCAAACTCTCTCTCTCTTTCTTTTTTTCTATACAAATGAGTCCAACAGATAACCGAAGTTGAACATTATGGTTCAAAACAAACACAAACCGTTGACAGTGACTGATAGGGAAAAATCTCTCAGGTCACTGCACCATCATATCAAAATTTCCACATGCATCACTATTAAGGGGAAAGACACCTTTTATTATTGGAGAAATAATAAGGTGTGCTCTAAAATAGGTGTGTTGGAAGTGTTTACCTCTGTTAAATAGAACGCCAGAAAGAGTATTTAGTGTTCCTTTTCATTAGTGTTTCCTCTCCGTTTATCCGCACATTTTCCCTTTCTCTTTATCTTCTCTCTCTCTCCTCAGCATTCTTTCCTCCTCCCTAAAGCAGTCAACATCTGGAAGTTTATTATCTTTATTAGGAAAGAATAGATCACCTAGAGTCCAGGAAATGAAACTGATTTTGTTTCCACATCTTCCTTCCTTTCCAGAAAAGGCTGAAATAGCAAAACAGAGGGTATGTGTTTATGTCAGGTGCGGGCAGGAATTTGGCAAGTGTGTTGAGTTTCAAACCCACTTTCTAAGTTTGGCAAAAGTCCTTCCTTGAATTACAACCCCTTCTACCATGAAGAATCTCTTATCTTTCACGGCTGCTCCCAGTACCTGAAGGGGTATCTCAAAAGTTATTTCTGTCCAAACTTGATCCCCTCTCTTCACAGTTTCCCATCCCCACTCTCAGCAATCGCGGTCGTTCCAAGCTTTCTCAACTTCAGCCTTGAAAAATGGGTACAAAGGGGGTCCTCGATCACCCTAAGCATAGAAGATCTTTGGTTAGATCTAAATCCCAGTGGGGTAAGGGTGAGAGCAGGAGGGAGACGCGGTGGCTAAACTAAGCTGTGGGTGGGAATTCACTTGGGTAGAGGGATACAGAAGCGAAGATGGGCAGTAGAATCTGATCCTCCTCCGGAGGGAGGAAGGGCAGAAAGAAGTTGCTGAGCGTTGCAATGCATAAGCCCCAAAGTTGATCCAGGAAGCTTCAGGGTGCGGGCACGAAAGGGTGTAAAGCGGTATACTTAGCTCTCCATACACCACGAGAGCTCAGCGAGAAAAGGAGGGGGCGAGGAAAGGCAGGTTCCGCCTCCCCCTGGCCCGCGCGCACACACGCGCCCACCGCGGCTCAGGCTGGCTGAGCGCGGGCGAGTGTGAGCGCGGGCGAGTGTGAGCGCGAGTGTGCGCACGCCACGGAAAGCCTCTGCCCTCGCCTCGCACCCTGCTCAGGGCATCTTAAGAGCCTGGAAACGTGACAGGTTTAAAGTATGGCATGTTGCAAAGATGATTTCTGTCAAGAAGGTAACCACGATTGCGGCGTCCACCGGGATCAGTTTCGCCCTCCTGCACTTCTTGTGCCTGGCTGCTTGGTAAGTTTCCTGGGGTGATGGGTGTCCAGGGGAAGGTGGAGAAGTAACCAGTTTCCAGGCCACTCTGGCTGCCCTCCTCTCCCGTGAAAACCAGACCCTCTTATCTCCTCTGTAGATCAGGAGCCACAGCCAGGTTTTTCTGTGACCTGGAAAAGTAAGGGTGCAAGGAGAGTGTGGACCGAGGAGTGTGTGTGCACCGGTGTGCTTTACTTGACGATTACTCTTGTGGACCCCTCAGCCCTGCCTCCTTTAGCTTGGGGCAATTGACTCTTTCCCTAGAAAGATAAATTGTTTCCACCTGTTCTCTGATGAATGCTTAAAATAACCTCCTTAGCCTCGTTTTTGTGTATGTGTTTGCAGTTTAAACGAACCAAAGGACGAGAGCCAAAAGGACGAGAAATTATGCCCGGAAAATTTTACCCGCATCCTGGACGGTTTACTCGATGGTTATGACAACAGGCTGCGTCCTGGATTTGGGGGTATGAACGATTTCAAACGCTCAAGTGTGTCCTGTCTGTTCCTTTGGGTCTGCCTGTCTGTCTGTCCGTAGGAATGTCATTAAGTATGCCTCGCATTCAAAAATAATCTCTCAGTCTCTCCCCTCCCCCCATGCTTGCTCTCCTCTCTCTTTTCTCTTGACGAGACCTCTGACAAGAAGACCGCCCCCATCAGTACTTTCCAATCTCCCTGCCCCCACAGGAGCTTTGTGTCTCCCCCACACTAATTACCTCCCGGGACCTGACTGCTGGGTGGGGGAGGTTGGAGGGAAGAGTCGAAAACATGAGCTCTCCAGGCTCAGTTTTAGCATTGCACTTCTCCGTGAGAATGGAGTTCCCTAACCTGACCACTTTGCTCAGAGCAGGTTGCACTTAGCAGCTGATCCGAGTCCCCTGTCCTCCCACGTGTTTTCTGTCCCATTGCCAAAACCTTGGCTGGCCGTGTTCTACCTAGGACATGAATCTGGGACACGAAGCTGCCTGCTCTGCTAGAGAACCCAGTCCTTTCCTGTTCTCTTCGACAATGGGATGACTTTTTATTTGCAGAGATGACAGTTTCTTCCCTTCTAAACTTAGGAATCAGAGTTTTGGCTTTTCCTGCTCTTTCAATAGATATTTCCAAAGGATCTGGTTGAGGCATAGCCCGGAACAGTATGGTTGCGCTTTTTCAAACCACATCCCTTTGCTTATATAAAGAGAATCTATGTGGCAGGCATTGTGCTAGACACTAGGTTCACAAAAATCTCACGATATTTTTTCCTTAACGTCAAACACTCTCGCAGTCCAGTTCCAAGAGGATGAGTGACTTGGTAGGGTCTCAATAGAAGTGTTTGCAGAGGTCTTCTGTCAAATTCCTGTTCTTTACATTATACAAAGTTAGCTACCCTTCAGAAAATGAATTGAACAAGGCTTAGACTATCTTAAAGGAGCTCATATTCTAGAAGTAGGAATAACAATCTCTGCCAATGATTATTTACTTATTTAAATATTTGTATATACCAGACATTTTAATAGCCTTAGTTTTTAGCTTTCACAATCCTGAGAAAAAGTTATTTGTACCCTTATTTTACAGATGAAGAAATTGAAGCTTGCAAAGTGAAATGACTAGTCTAAGTTCACAGTAAGTGGTAGAGGCAGGATATGAACCTAGGTCAGGCTGTAATATTAGGGATAATATTAGATACTATTTAATGAATATCACACAATATTAGAAGCACAGAGAAATTTAAGCTTCTTACTAAAAGTGTGTAGGAGATAAAGTGGTGAGAGACTAGAGTAAGTAAAAGAATGGAAACAGGATTTTCCTCTGAGAAAAAAACACCTTAGATATGATTTAGGAGCAGGGTCCTAAGAGAGAAAGAATTGTTGAAGGTAAAAAAGAATCGGATGCAATAGTGCTGGATGGTTCCTTGGAAATCTATCACATGTTCACTTTAACAGAGACATTGAGGGTTAGAAAAGGGACAGGTTTTTTGCAGATACACATGGCATAATGATAGGCAGGGGCAGGGCTTCTGACTGCAAACCATGTTTTTCTTGGTTTAATTAGGAGGATATAGGGAAACTTTAAAGGCATTCATTTAATCTTTGTGTATTGACAGTTATAAAGATCGAAAAGAATAAAAGTTTCTCATGGCGCTTCACATGCTGTCTGTCTAGGGGCTAGTATACTTAGCACTGCATTTGCCATTGTGCAGATATGAAAAAGTCTTCCTTATAAAAGTGAATCATTTGTCAATATACAGTCTTTCATAAAGGAGAGAGAAAGGATCACTTTACATCAAAAATAATTTCCTGGACAATGTTTCAGATGATGTGATATCATTTAAGATTATATTATATCAATAAAAGAGGATTTATCTGTCCATAAAGGTTTTAAACTTGACATTTCAAGGGAAGAAAAAATTATGTTAACTATAAAGTCACATGTTTAAATATTTATTAGAGAATTGATGTACCTGAACATAAATTAGAGTGAAAACTTGTAATTGCAGCTATTGGTTTTATTATTAAATGTTGAACATTAATATCTGCCCAGTTGGTTTTAATGCAAGTTATAATTTAAAAAGAAGGAGAGATCCATTATAGGTGGACCTTTTTGATCAGTTACCATCTCCCCTAACATAAGTAAATGATATAATGAGTGCACTCAATCTATTGGAGTTTGGTTTGCTGTATGATGACATGTCTCAAGGGCATTTCAGTCATCTCACTTGTCACTCTCAAGGGATCTACATTCCCAACTTGGAGATACTTTTATAGCTTTATAGGAAGTACTAGCAGTTGATTAATCATTAAACATTTACTATATTGAGTATTTTTTGGCATTGTTCATAAATATTTGTGTTAAATATGATTCATTTTTGAGAAGTGGGTCATTCACTATAAATGTATAGTATTCCAAATGTTCCAGAAGAATAGTAATTCTCACCTGCAGAAATGTGTAATTTGTTTACAGGGTGGTGTAAAATGAGCATAACTTAAATAATAAGAAAACTCTTTTTTAGCACTGACTTTTAGAGGCCAAAAGTCACAAGTTTTGATCCCCTCATTGACATTTTATACTTTTTGGAAAGTTTGGCATTTTAAAAATAAAATGAAAACAACTCAGATTTTGTCCAGTATGCTATAAATACAGATTTACTTCCTGGTTCCTTTAATCCTACTTCTGCTCTTTGTGGAGCATTTACTTTATGTCTGTTTATACAACTTAGCTGTGTTCTATTTGAAATAAAGCTAAAAGCAAAGATTTGAATTAAAATTGGATGGTTTGTGATTGCTCAGTAGGCCAGGCAGGGGTTGAAATAGATTTGGAAGCTAAATTACATATTTTTAACTCAGCAGCACAGCTTGCAATGGGGAAATAAAAGGAACAAAAATGTTTCTCTTCCTTTTATCCCTCTAGGATCTCCTCCCCCTTGTCCCCCACATTCTCCCATTGGAGAAGAAAAGGGGAAAAGGTGAGAAGAGAAGGAAGGAGGCATGGTGAGAGAAGCTAGATCAGGACATCTAAAGGGTAGAAGTTATTTTGGCCTCAGACAAATCGGTTTGCTGTCATCCCGAAGTAGCTTGCACCTGCTTAGAAGTGGCACACACGTGACCTCATCCACAGAGGAGCTGGGAGATCACTGCCCTGTGCTTGGATCCCCTTGAACTCTGTCTAAGACTACTTCAAACTGCATTGCTAAGATACTAAACACCTGGAGGGAGTTTAATCAATTCTTATTTTCCTTTATTGAAGTGTTACAAAATCTTTTGTGCAACTCAGTCTTTGAAAGCCGATGATCTGGGATAATAAAATTCTTAAGCATTCGATGATGACCTTGTATCATCTCATACAACCTCTCTGAAATGAAGTAGAGCATCAGGGTCAATTTTGCCAGGTTACTCACCAACATTGTAGGACTTCACATTGGCAGGTCCTCTATAGTTTGGAAAATGCTTTTCACACACAATATTTACTAAAATTATCAGGACAAGACACGAGATGAGCAGAGCTGGCATTATACCTCTGTTAATAACAAGGCTGAGAAAAGTTCTAGAGTGTTGCCCCAGGAAATAACAACTAGTATTGGCTAGGCCACAAGTCACACCTCAGTCTTTAAACCTCCAGTGGACCTGCTGTTGTCTTCTCCATCCACTTCTGAAGCAGCTACGTTTTCATTAACATACCTTCTTGTTACTAAGTAAATTGGTCATTAAAATAAAGATGGGAAGAGTGTATGGGACTATGGTGATGGCCTAATGGTGAATTGGTGGTGGGAAGTCCACAGGGATTACAACCAAGATGAAAAAATGCACAAAATGGAGAATGATGTAAAAAAAATAAATCAGCAAAGCTGGATTTCCCTCAAAGGAACAAAATGAGAACTTTAATTCTAAAGCTTTAATAACATTTAAAATTAAAATGCAAACATGGAGGGTTGCATATACTTGGGTAAATTTTAATTATTATCCCCACACAAATAGAATATCCTTGCAATGTTTTTAAATGATCTTTGTCCACCTAAAAATTAATGTGTAATGTGCTAATTTTATAATTGAATGCCAACAGAGAATATATATATTTTTTGAAATGTATAGATGAAAACTAAAACTTCAAAACACAAGGCAATGGAAACATAAAATTTTATTCATTTCTGATTTGAAATATTTGTTCATTTACTGAACCAATACAGATATCAAAATGACTACTGTATCAAGAAGGTGAAGATATTACAATATGAAGATAAAATTATGAAGCAGACACAGAAACTCATGACTTTATTGCTAAGCAGAATAGAGAGATTAAAAAATAGCAAAATAATTAAAGCTAAAGCTATTGCACAATCAAATAGTATGCTACAATAGATAGTAAATTGGGTAACGGATCTATTTCAAACATGGTTGTCAAGGAAGTCTGATGCCAGACATGGAAAAGGTGGGCAAAACTAGTTCTCAGGTAGAAAAAAAAAATAGCACGTGTAAAGATCCAGAAATAGATAATAGATGAATGTGTTGTGAAGGGAATCCAGTGTGTTGGTATTTGGAAGGCAAGAGAAGAATCTCAGGACTATCTTGGGATGGTATACAGAGGAGAAATCATGCAGGCCTTTGAGGATTCTGTGAAGGGGCTTAGATTATCTTTTTAGCAAACATGGATAGTGCTGACATTTTTTAGTTGTGGAAATAGCATGATAAGGCTTAAATAGGGATTCAATTCTCGGGCTACTACATAAAGAATTAGACAAGGAGGTAGGGAAATATTGAAGAAAGTCAGTGAAATGCTCATTTTTAGGTTTTCTCCACTAAATGGTGACTTGGAATAATTTGGTTCATGTGGTAGAGGTGTATGTAAGTGGATAAAAGTAAGGTATATTTTGGAGTTATAATTCACCAAAGAATTAATGATGGATTTAATATGGGTAGTAAAGGAAAGGAAGAAAAAAAGTTTCCTGGATTTTTTAATTTGAGGAAATGGGTGAGAAGGCAGTGTTATTTAA